AACAATCACAAGTCACAAAGCACAAAGGGGGGAGCTAAAAGGGAAGTGAAACGACAACTAAGCTTAGTTACAACTTTCAATACAAATTGGCCGGGCAGTTAATTGGAAACTACTTTCCCTTAAACCTTAAAATATAGAGCTTAGTTTCTTCTTCTTCAAGCACTAAAAGAACAAGAAGTCCATAACGAACAATATAATTCATCACTTAACAGTTACATCTCAATCAAAGGTTATAGACGCTAGGTGAAAGGCGTGGGGTTATAAGGACTTCAAGCGGTGTAGCTTTAAGGTTGGTCATCCCCACTCCCTGGGTCATATCAATTGATTCTTCAAATGGGGTCGAGAACTCGAACGAGTGCAGCAAATTAGCGAGCGCAAACTGCATAACTTGAAGCGCTAAGGTAACACCAGGGCACATTCTTCTCCCACTACTAAATGGGATCAATTCGAAATTCTGACCTCTAACATCAATATTTTTATGGCTTGTCAAAAATCTTTGCGGTTGAAATTCATAAGGATCTGACCATACTTTTGGGTCATGATGGATTTTATAAATATTGATAAAAAGTCTAGTACCTGCAGGAATATGGTATCCACTCACCGTACAGTCTTCCATGGATTCATGTGGGACTGAGAGAGGTCCTGCTGGATATAAACGCATTGTTTCCTTGAGGATGGCTTGAAGATAGGCCAGGTTTCTTATGTCTGATTCCTCCAACTTCCTATCTTTACCAACATGGATGTCTATTTCTTCTTGGACCTTTTTCATTACAACTCGGTTGTTGAGTAGCAAAGACAAGGCCCATGTCAATGTTACTGTCATAGTATCGGATCCTGCTATAATAAGTGCCTGACAAGTAAAGAAAAATCAATTAAAATTTAACCAAACAAAGTAATCTTTCTCTAAGTTTTTCTTACTCGTGCTTCTTCGCATCAAGATTAACTATTTGTACATCAAATTACTTCTAAAGAACACTATTTTTCTGTTCAGATTGCATAGTAAAAACATATTGTTATTTGAAAATAAGGTAATTAATTGATTGATCTAAGAAGGAGGAGAATACCAGGCATGTGGCTTTATTAATGGTATCAGCATCATGCTTCTCTGTATCATTGAGAGCTGAGAGCATTACATCCATGAAATCTTTCTCTTTATTTTCTTCACTGGATTTCTTGCTCTTGTGCTCCTCTAACCATTCCGCAATAACTTGATCTAATTCTTTTGCTATCTTTTTCATGGTCTTCTCATCTCCACCTATGTCCAACCATCTCAAAAATGGAAATGCATCAGATATCAAAAACTTACCACTAAATTCCAAGAAGCCCTTCAACAACTTCTCCCATCTCTCGCTTGAATTTGAAACTCTCTTTCCGACTATCATCCTTAAAATTACATTAAGGGTAACATCTGTGAACCATTTCTTCATATCCACCAGAGCCTTGCCAGATCTGCTGCTGTTGTTACTCCAAAGCTGGTATAAATTATGTACAGATTCCCTTATGGCAAATTGTCGCAAGTGTTTGAGTTTCTCCAACCGATGGCTCGAGAGGAGCTCAAGAGTGGCAATCTTGCGCACTTGACGCCAGTAAGGGCCGTAGGGGGCGAATCCAAACATGGCGTTGTGGTAGCTCATCAGCTCCAAGGCAATAAGTTTGGGACGATTTGCAAAGACTTTGTCGTTGGTGGTAAGGCAATCTTTCACAATTTCCACATTGCTTACCACCAATGCTTTATGTACACCTAGCTTGATAGTAAAGATTGGTCCGTGTTTGTCCGCCATGTTGCCGAGGGTTATGTGGGCTGGTTGTGATCCTCCGAGGAGGTGGAGATGGCCGATGACAGGCCATGCACCGCCAGCTTGCGGTGGTAAAGGTGCTGTCCTCTTATTTCTGAAGATACCTTTTGAAATCCATTGAAGAAAGTAGAGGAGGGGAAAAGCAAATATTGCATAGGTGAAATATGCTTGGAAAGGCATTGCTTGGAGGGGTGTGGATTTTTAGAAGTTTGAATGGACATAATAAACTGATGCTCTCGTCATTAGTATTACCATTAAATGAGAAAAGAAATGGGAATCACATGATCATGTCGACGTAATGTTCACTTAAAACAAAAATAAATAAATAAATACGTACAATTCGCAGACGTTATCGCGACTCGGACCGCTTGGCTGGTACGGAAGGTGACATTAATTTAATTAATTAAATTTAATTATTTAGTTAATAGAGTAATTTAATTAAAAAAGAAGTAGTTATTTGTTGTATCTAAAAAAAAATTGAGTAAAAAATATTAAAAATTATATATTATTTTAATAAATTTTTATTTAAAAATATTAAAATTTCATTTAAAAATATCTCTCAATGCTTTAATTTTTTTATACCTTTTTATTATATTAAAAATATATAAAATATTAATTAAAATAAATATTAAATATTTTAAACAAAATGTTTATATTTTTTAGATATTAAAAAGTAAAAAAATTATAGTTACATCTATAACATAACACACTCAAATTGCATTCCCCTGTTGTAATCCATTAGTGCTCACTGCAGTTCAATAGAACTGTTGGAAGATTGCACCCCTAACCAGTGGTCGAATCTTACCAATAATAAAATACTAATTTAACTTTTAACTTCTAATCTCTAACCATTGTCCATGTAAAAAAAAAAAAAACACTCAAATTAAACTTCAAATAAGTAAGTATCAAATTATTTTGATTTTTTAATGATAATTTATTAAAATAATATAATTCTAAAATATTTTGTTGAGATATAACTGGCTAATAATAATCCCTTTAGTTAATTATTTAATTTTTTTATTTTTCACTTCAAATTAAACACAGCTATTATTGTTTAACAAATGTAATGGTTTTTAATTACTAAAATTTTAATTAATTTTCTTAAATAGTGTCTAAAAATATCAATATTGATTGATTTTAATTTCTTAACTAATAAGTATTAATCAATTATTAGTTAATATTATAATTATTAGTTATTTTTATTAATTAAATTAAATAAATTTAATATTTTTATAAATAATATTTTGTAATTTTAATAGCCTTAACATTTTTATTAGTAGGCATAAATGTATTGGCGTTTAACTTTAAGACGACGAAACTTAATTATGCAATGGAAAGAAATTATACTTCATCACATTGGCTAGGGCAATTTTTTAAAAAGAATTTTTCTAACATAAGTTCTTGTAATTAATACATTTTTTAATAATTATTTTATAT